CAATCGAATGTTGAATTATTACTTCAATTTTTCGATATTTTCCTCAAAATGAAAGGTTTAACAACATCCGAAGCGTTTCAAGAATTCGATACGAACAAAGACGGATTCATTTCACCGAAAGAATTTCGTCGAGCTATGGAAGCGCAAAAAATGTATACAACGTAAGTGAAATCTTTCTCTCGAACAACGATTTTCATGATCGATGTTAATCTTTAGTCAAGATATCGACTACATCTTGATGTGTGTCGATACAAATCAGGATGGAAAAATTGATTTCATGGAATTCACTGAACGTTTTCATAATCCTGCTAAAGACATTGGTTTCAACATGGCAGTTCTACTGACCAATCTGTCTGAACATATGCCACATGATATACGTTTACAACGTTTGATGGATAAAGCGAAAAGTTTTCTCTCGTACTTTCAAGAGTATCTTGGTCGAATTGAAATCAAAGGTGGAGCTGGTTATATCGAACGTGTCTATTTTGAAATCACCGAATCTAATATTGAACAGTGGAATAAACCACATATTAAAGTTCGTATTCTTCTTGAATACATCGCGTGACGCTAATAGCATGTCTTTGAATTTAGGAATCGAAGAAAGCATTTTTGCATCTGGTGGTGAATGAAACCGATGATAAAGAGAAATTAGAACAATTTATTAACTTCTGTGAAGACACGATTTTTGAAGTAAGACTCGAATCACAATGAGAATTGACTAATAACGGAATTTCTTTTCCAGATGCAACATGCAGTTGCACTCAGTGGGGAAGAAGATGATCCCGTTACTCAAACAGCGACATTTTCCGATGAGGAAATTGGTAATAATCATCCAACTACAAAAGAACCTGTTAAACTCGCTTTATCATACACATGGGCTGCAATCAAAGGTCTCTTTCATCTACTTCGTCCATCGACAATACGAAATGGCTATCAACAATTTCGTCAAATGACTTTGAAAGATATGATCAAAAGTTTCTTTGCATTGTTTGTCAAATTTCTTCATTTACTATTAATCATCTTCGTCTACGCAATAAGGTAAGTTCATTGATCTTTGCTTTGAAGCATGTGATTGCAGTATTGGGGTTTTTCTTCAGTTTGCATGTTTTTTTCTTCATGAAATTCTTCTTATCTGCACGGTGGTACTATTGCATGGGCACAAAATTGAATCGCTATCTTGTTCGTCTAGTAAAAATTCGATTCCGATATAAAAATCTCGAATATGAACCGTCATTAGTGGTTTACAAACATTACAATTCGAATCGATACTTTTTTCACGAGAGAAAATCAATTCCATTTTATCGTCAACCTCTCAAACGATCAAATACGAATTCCCAATTCAATCGGTTTGCTCATTGTCGTCTTTTTGCATGTTTATTTGTGCCTCGTTTGATTGTAATTACCATAAATACTAAACTTTCTTTATTCGTTAGAACATTGACATATTGTGTATGGAATTTAATGATTGGAGAAGATCAACCGGAAGTGAAACAAGAACGAGTCGCTTTACCACCACCAATGAAACGACGCGATCTACATATGCGTATGTCATGATCGATTGCTAAATGGATCTTTAGTAATTCGTTTTCTTTAGCTTCGGTGAACATCTCACAGATTGGATTTGATACCAGTGAAGAATCATCGACCGTCAATGCTTTTGGTTTTGGTCTTGGTCTTAGTTCTGATCCATCACCAAAACACAAGTAAAGATTCAAGTACACATTGAACTACCATCTAACATTGCACATTTAGACTCGCTTTGAACGAGGACTCGGTTAACACACTCAATTTTGATAGCGTTCAAACCTACGATGCCGACCAAAAATCTCTTTATGTCAATAATATGGATTCAACAAATGGACAATCAATACCAACATCAGTCAGTACAACAGCACACCTTACTCCATTGACGCAACATACACAGCATCAACATACAATAACAGCTTCTGTACCACATCAACCACAATTGACAACAACTATGCAAATGTCGCCAAATATGATTGAGAAATCGAAACAAGCACTTGAAGTAAATCGAAGGATTCTTACCAAATGATAGTTGATATTTATTTCTTATTGATTAGATTAATATTCAAGCTGAATATCAACAGAAAATTGCGATGAACAATGGAACTGGTCTACCGGTCGAGGATGATGATTTTATTCCACCAGAACCGCCTCCACGAACCGATTACGGAAAGAAAATATTGGTAATAAATTACATTGTTTTTTTTTAACCAAATGTTCACCTCGTTCTATGAATTGTAACAGGCTCTCGTAGCACGAAATTATCATCAGTTAAAATTTATGGCTTTGTGTCTCGCGTTCGTTATCAATTTTCTGATGCTCTTCTACAAAGTAATAGACATTCCTTTAATCAAGTTCATCGATACTATTATTCGAACCTTTCTAGGCTATGCCAATGGCGGCTGCAGCTAGTGAACCTATCGCTCCTGACGCTATCGAACGAATTGATGAAGATGAAGATGAAGTTATTATGATGGATCCAAAGAATTTCTATATGGTTTATCTCTTACGAATAAGTGCATTTCTACATTCATGCATAGCATTCTTGATGATGATTAGTTACTATAAACTGAAAGTAAGAATAGCTCATTGTTGTCAGATCTTGTTTATAGACGATGTTTTCTCTTAGGTGCCGTTGGTAATATTCAAACGTGAGAAGGAAATTGCTCGTAAACTAGAATTTGAAGGCGCTTGGTTAATCGATCAACCAAGTGAAAACAATTCGTGGATATTAGCTTATCTATCACGTGAATGGCACAAATTAGTGATCAGTTCGAAATCATTTCCTGATTCATACTGGGATAAATTTGTGAAGAAGAAAGTTCGGAATAAATATTCGGATCAATTTGACTATGATGAATTGAGTCGGTTTCTGGGCATGGAGAAGAACGATACACCGGGAAAATTCGAAATTGTTAAGCCAGTCGAAACAGGCTTATGGGGAAAGTATGTAGACGAAAACACAAACAGAAAAGACATCGAAACATCGTTTCATACTTAGGATTCAATCGATTGATATACGATATCAAGTTTGGAAATGGGGTGTTATTTTTACGGATAATGTAAGTGAACATAGCACGTTTCGATGAGTATTTTGGATTGGATTGACTATTTTTAGTCATTTCTCTATGTATTCTTCTACTTCATTTTTTCTGTTATTGGCAATTTTTCATATTTCGTCTTTGCAATTCACTTACTCGATGTCGCAATTAGTGTTAAAGCACTAAGCACGATCTTGAAATCAATTACGCACAACGGTCGACAAGTAAATAAACATGAAATAGAGAGTTCAATGAAGAATTTATTTGATTCTTTTGTAGTTGCTTTTAACAATTATGTTAATGGCTGTGCTTGTTTATCTTTATACAGTTGTAGCATTTAATTTCTTTCGTAAATTCTACACGAAGGAAGAAGATGAAGAAAAAGAAGAAAATTGTAAAGATATGTTCACTGTATGTTTCTTCAATCGAAGATTTTGTCTCACGAAATGACTCGATCGTGTGTTTTTTGACTTTAGTGTTTCAAGTTTCATTTATATTCGGGCATACGAGCTGGTGGTGGTATTGGTGATGAATTAGAATCACCAAATGGCGATCCACTTGAATTATATCGAATTGTTTTTGATATAACATTCTTCTTTTTTATTATCGTTATTCTTCTTGCTATTATTCAAGGTTTGATTATTGATGCATTTGGTGATCTTCGAGAACAACTTGATTCAGTGAAAGAAACACTTGAAGTAAAAGATTTTCACATTTTGATTCTCATATTTGCTCAATGTTGATATTCATAGTCTAAATGTTTCATTTGTGGAATTGGGCAAGAATATTTCGATAAAGAACCGCATGGATTTGAAGTAAGCGAACATGGATTATGTTTTCGTGATACAACGTAGAACTATTGTGCTTTAGACACATACAACGGCTGAACATAACTTTGCAAATTATATGTTCTTTCTAACGCATCTTTTGAATAAGCCAGACACAGAACATACTGGACAGGTTTGATATTTCAGTGAAATTTATCGAAATCTTCTTGTTTTGTTTATTTGTAGGAAAGTTATGTTTGGGAAATGTACCAAAGTCGCAAATGGGACTTTTTCCCCATTGGTGATTGTTTTCGACGGCAATATGAACCGGGAGGCGGGGGAGCAACATCAACAGAAAGTTAACAAGACTTATGATAATTTGATGAGCCTCACCGGTGACTTCTTTTCTTCATATACCAAGGTGCTATGTTTTCTTTCTTTTTCTCCTCATTGATACCAAATGGTTAATAGCAAAGAGACTATTCTATACATGTTTGTTTGTCTGTTCTTTTCTTTTCTACAATCACACACGGTCTTGCACTATTTTTTTGCACAATTTGTACGGATTTTTTCTAATTATATCTAAATCACTTGCTTTGGTGTTTGTGTGTGTGATTAGGAAAATATTCTCATTTAAATAAAGAGAATTGACCCCTAACCAGAATATCTATGAAATGTTTGTACTCATTTCTTCAATTATCTTATAGAATAAATTTTTCTAACAAAACGTCCTTGTTATTCGTTCGCATCGTCGAGGTTAAATGTCACAACGTACTCAAAGAAGAAAGTTCGTACTGAAGATTAAAAAAAGTAGAATATCGATGTATATTGACGTGTTTCTGTATCAAGTGCATTACGAAACATTGTATGAGATCATATCTATTTCTAAAGATGTTGCAGATGGTAAACGATGCATGCATCGAAGTTAAAAACTATTTTGAGAAAAAAGAGATAACAGATCTATAAAAAAAAAGGAATTCAATGACTAATTGTTGCTGTTCTTCGGAAATGTTCTACACTTTTCTAGTTCCATGCTCGAAGGAAAAGAAACGTACTCTATGACTCAAAACGCTGGCCATAAGTAAGCGATGACTCATCAGACTTTGCGTGTCGCATAAAAGAACACTTCTTCGTTGTTGTGATTTCATAAAGACTGTTAAAATAAAATATGTCGCCAGCAATGACAACAACAGAAGTAACTTATGAAAAACTTACAAATATTGCCGATAATGGTGATTTACAACATGTTCCATCGTCAACGATCAATTATAAACTTCGTGCAACGGCTAATTGGGTTAAGAAACCTTTTAAGCAGCGAAGCTTTTGGGAACGTTTAGCGACATTAGATTTAGCTAGTGATAAATGCTATGTTGTTCAACCACAAAATCCTAATCCACCACCTAATCTTAATGTTTGGCGTGAACGTCTATGGTTAGTTATAACAATCGCACCAGCGTTATTGATTCAGGCACTTTGGTATTACATTATACCTGAAACAAGTTATTTCCATACATGGCATCCAATTTTTGCGTTTGTTTTCTATCACTTAGCTTTTGTTGCATTTACTATTCGTCTTATCAAACACCTCACTTATTACATGGATGTTTATGGCACATTTGATGAACATAATCGACCTCGTGATTATGTTCCTGACAAATATGTACCTCGATTGATTATAAGCGTTCTAATTTATACATTAGCACGTACTGGAGGTGGACTTATTCTCGGTGGATACAATCGTCATGCACCTCCATCACTTGGACATACGATTTCTTGGCTTTTCCCAGTTAAAATCGGTCTTTGGTTGATTTCCCTCGATTTCTTCTTCTATTCATATCATCGTGCAGTTCACACATTTCCCTTTCTTTGGAAATATCATAGTAAACATCATTCAACTAAACATCCAACACCACTTCAATCGATTCTTGCTGATGATATTCAAGAAATAATAGAGATCTTTCTCATTCCTTTACTTGCATCATTAGCGATGCCTTTATCAGCGCATGAATTTTGGATTGCACAATGTATTCTCATGTATATTGAAGGAATGGGTCACAGTGGTGTACGAGCTTTTTGGACACATCCATTGATTGGCGAAGTTTTGCGACCGTTTGGAATGGATTTAACAATTGAAGATCATGATTTACATCATCGCTATGGTAAAAGTGGCCAGAATTATGGTAAACAAACACGAATCTTTGATCGAATTTTCAACACTATCAGTGAACGTGTTGAAGGCATGGAAAAATAAAAACATGCAATGTAGCGTTTACATATGGAGATATACTGTAATTAATAAACTTATTTATGTTGTTTTTTTTCTCGTCAATATTATATGTATTCGAGATCATTGGTAATACTATTTCCCAACTAGAATATTCTAAATTCATTGCTGCTATTTCAATGTGATTCATATATGGAAAGCATGAATTAAGGTCAAAGTTACATTCTAGCGCGCGAGTGATGACTAAAAACCTTTTATGTTTTGAGAGTTCTGAATATATTTCGTGTAATCAATGAAAAATCAATACGTATTCTAGCGTCTATATGCTCTGCGAATATTGTTCCATAGCCGAGAGCACTGTGAACGTAGAAGTCGAAAGATCATTTCAGCAATTTCCATTAGCGAAAGAAAACTAATGCCAATCCAAAGACCTGTATGTCCGCCAACGTTGGATATGACATCGACTGGACTGATCGTTGCTTGTTGAGTGTAGAGTTCACTTCGTGATGTTTCATAAGCCACTTCTAACGAAACATAACTCGCTTGAATTTCTGTTCGCCACGATGTTGACCAATTTGTTGGCAATGGAATCATCGATGACTCAACAAACTGTTTGATATCATCGATCACGTGAGTGGATGGTGCCAGAAGTGACGTTGGTCGTATAATAAAATCAACATGTTTACATTCTTGACTGCAAAGAGGACAGTAGGAAGTCCAAATACTCATTGTATTCATAATTTCAGCAGTTGCTTCAGAATAGCATGGATTACTCACATTACAAAGTGGAATATGAATCGATTCATTGGAGCCTGGTGGTACAATATAACGTGCTGCCCAGCGAGTAGGATTTCCACATCCACATTTCTCATAACTAATACAAATCATTGTCAATTGAAAAAGTGATACAAGATCTACTTACACATAAGATTGTATGCAAGCAAAATAGCATGGTAGTTCAAAATATCCGTAATCAGTATCATGATATTCGTTATACATGGCTGCCATTCCTTGAGTAACAATATTATTACATGTTGTATAAGGAGCTGGAAGGAAAATGCTCGTTTTCTTCGAATAGCCTAATTTATGATGTCGACCAGGAGCCAGTTGCATGGCTGTCATCTCAATAATTGGCAATTCTTCATTATCATGAACTAACACGGCTGCACCAATACCTGTACAATTAGGTTTTACATATGCTATAATGAATCGTGATTTCATTCTTACCACTCGATATATATGGTACATACTGATGTTGATGGACGTATAGATCTAATTCAAATAGACCATTTGCTCCATTGTCTGCATTGTATCGCAAGGTTTTGTTGATTGTACTTTTTGGTTTAGCATTAAATGTGTAGCATAAACCAAATCTCGGTGACATGAACCAAGTGAAATCAGCAGCTGAACATTTCTCTCCATTGTAAGAACAGGAGATCATCATGGACTCAAGTGAATAGAAATACTCATATAAGGATTCGTTCCTATTGAGCTTATAAATGAGATAATCTTGAATATATGAAGCTTGAACTTTGGTGAAGTAATTTTTATCTGATGTATTCGTTAATCCAAATGTATTGGTATAATTCAGAAATGGTTCGATAAAACGATCATATCGTAATGGAGAATGATTGCAAACAGTTACTGCAGGAAAAGCTTGAGGCCATTCTCCGACAATAGCAACCGATGTTTGAGTTGGATATTCAAAGTACGCACGAATAGATTGAACAATAAAATACGACATAATACCAGTAAAGATGAGCAATGAAGTAGACCAGAAGATGCGATTTAATTTACTTTCACTACGAGCGATACCGGGTATACCATGAGTTGATGTATTTAAACTGAATTCTTTGACAATCGAACCGGCACGTCGAACTTTGACATTTGTTCTCAGTGCTTCGGCATTGACTTCAAATGTATGCATTATGCATTTGATCGTGTCGTCCGACATGTTCGCTTCAAACTAAATACCTTGTTGATATATTGAAAATTGCATCGACTTATATAGTCGAATGAAGGCTTTGAAAAAGTTTTCACCAAATCCTGACTTTTTCATTGAGAAAAAACAAAACGCGACAGGAGGTTCTATAGTATTAAATTCGTGAAATTTTGTAGGCTGAGAATAGTGTGTCAACTCTATGTTTTATTCATCATTGAGAACGGTACTTATGTCATTTGAAAGGATTCGAACAATTGTGTGAATGACTTGAAGTGCTTTCATACATTGAAAAAACGATATCGTTCTAAGTACAAAACTAGTTTCGATAAATCTTATTGCTCATGCTTCTAATCAAATGAATAATTCCAGATAAAAAAATATGACGAAAAAACAAAAACAAATTGTGGTCCAACTATATTGGACGGGCTGCCTGCCGCTGTCTATTCACAAGCGCTATCCCACGACTGCTGAACATGAGGTTTTTGACTTGCTCGCATTTCGCGCCTCAGCCGGTTCAACCTTCCTTAGTCGCCCTGGTGGAAGAGATTCCTCAACATCCACCATGTCGATGCCTAGCTTCGTGCGGACGCTCGATCAACATAGAACAACGACAAACAGGACTCCCGCCCGCAAGTCATTCACACAACTCGACCCCAGAAGTAGCTCCGGTTACAGAAAGACGCCGCGCTTTCCAGTCGTAAATGATCACCATGAAGCGATTATCTATACTGAATTTAGTTGATATGGAGCAATCACATCCATATTGGTAAACTATGGAAAGTATCTTTATCGAAATTGAAAGACATCTATTGATTTCGACTCCAACGTTCTATACATATTGTGTTAATGATTTATTTCGTTAAATCTCTGATGCGAAAGAATAAGTTTCAAGAAAAGAAAGTACCAGATTGCTCGTTAAGTCAGAATAAATTGTGTGAAACATCGTGTGGGTGTATCGTTTGATTATAACTACGAAACGAATAATGGCTTTCTGTTTCTTTTTTTATCAGGCCTGAGCAGATATTTATTCCAATGTATTGCTTAACCCAATTGCCAGTGATGTCAGTTTTACTTTCTCTTTTCTTTCATAAGTCGTTTTTTTTTCGCTCAGATATATTCATATATCGCCTGAGAAACAAGAAAGAGAAAGAAAGAAATTGCTCTAGGAGAGAAGGACGAAAAACCTGCATATGTACGGATGTTTGTACAAGGATGGATGTATATGTGTTAATAAATGTATACATATTCTACAGCGCCATTTACATTTGTTCTTCCTTTTCTGTTTTTTTTTCGGGCCCAATTCTTTGTCTAGCTGATTCATTTGACAAAATCTACTGAATCGCTTATTGTTATGTTTTGATTTTTGTGCTTGTCTCTATGACATCATTTGATGTCAGTAAAGTGAAAGACACGCATTTGTTTTGTTTCTTCTTGATTATTTTCAGTATAAATCATGATGTGATGCAATTGAATCGAAATTCATTGTAAAGAAAAGATGGCGCGATGGGGTCGAATGTCTTCAATGCTTGGCAGTGTCAATGAATACTCACATTTAAAATGGCCATTAACGTTTGCCAGTTTACTAACAACATTATTAGCTTTTATTCTCCTACTAAGTTTTCGTTCGGACGCGTGGTTTACCTACGAACTGATTCATGTTGATAATACATCTATTGTCACATCGAATTCGCCAACATATTCTCCATTGATTGAGTATGGCTCATTAGGTCTCTGGTCAATATGTAATAGTCATTACGATGATCCGATTATGAAGTGTGATCTGTGGACCAGAGTAACCCGACCGCATTATTTTAATGTGATTATTGTTCTAATTACATGTGCATTATTTCTTTCCAATTTAACCGTTTTCCCATCATGGGGTGCGTCAATTCTGATTCTCTATAATACTGATAATCGTTATATTCGCCATATTGTTGGTTTTATATGGATACTTTTGCTCTTAACGTTAGTCTGTACTATTGTTCTAATCATCGCAATGTTATTAATAGCATTAACACAGTTCTATTCTCCAGGAAGATTTATTATTCAATCTGATCATCTGTACTTTCGTTCTGGTCCTGGTTTACATTATGCTAGCTTTGGTAAGTATCTTTTTCTAGAATATTTTCCTTTCACAACGAAATCTGTTGAAATATTTCAGCAACATTTTTGTCGGTTATTTGTTTAATCTTGATTATTGTGACATTATTATGGAAGAAGATGATTGAAATGAAAAACAACGAAGAAGAAAAAGACCTTCTGAGACAATTAACTGATGATTATCAACCAGGTTGGCATCGAATGGTAATAGCACCGCGTACACCATTAGCAAATGAGCAAGCTGGCGAACCACCACCATATCAATATTGAAAAAGCAACCAGATCAGTTCTGTGCAAATATGTCCGTTTTCACAAAAAATAGTCTTGCTTGGTGATCTGTCAAAACATTTTATGTTCATACATATATATATATATTTTGAGAAATAAACGCTTTAATCAATAATAATTATATGAAAACAAACCTATGACCTTGAAATATGTGCTGTCACAAAGGAATTTTCGATAATAAATCGTCGAACGAGAACTATTTGTGACATATAAAAGGCCGTCATTAGTAAAGTCGTATGAAAAATCGACTGTAAATATGAGGATAGAATAGTCATATCTCTGCTGTCTTGTTTTACTAAATAAACAAAAAGTCACATCACCGTACGATAGAACACAACGAAAAGACAGAGCAAACAAAATTTTGAAACGGTGGAAAAGCAAAACAAAATTTGAACAGCTACTTCAGCGTGCATAGCTGTCACCTACAAAACATACGCACACATCGAGTACAAAAGGGCGCTATCGAACGAACTTAACAAAAGTACGATGCAATCCTTTATCGACTCGTTTTGGACGGATACAAGTAATATATTCATATATAAACAGAGCAAAAAAAAAAGAGACTAGGCTGATTTGAAATAGTTCTTTACTGATGACTTTTCAAGTAAATGTACGAGTTCGTGTAAACAGCGTCGAGGAATAATACAGCCGACTATTTTAAGTGGCATTGATTGATTATTAAGACTATTCATGGGTGTCGTTTTGATTCGTATCATTTGTATCTTTCCTTCTGGTAATATGCGTTCCATTTGCGACCAAAGAGCAAGTACACTACCGGAAAGAACGAGAAATCGACGTGTACGTGAACCAACTTCACACATTTGTTCGCCATTCGTCGCTGAAATTGGACAATGCCCTTGCCTATAATCGAACGCACATTGAAATATCTCGATAGTCAAATTTCGATCTGTATTCATAATTACCGAATGACATGAATACATGATGATGCAGCTCTATAATACAGTTCTTCCCAATACATTTGTGCTTGTAATGGAGTGATCTAAAAGATCGATTGTAGAAGTGTTCAAAATCTGTTCAAAGCATATACTTTCTCATATTTTTTTCGTAGACTTTCTAATGTTTCATGTCGTTGTTGCAATCCAGTATTTGGCCGATAGATGCGAAATAAAACTTCACTTTTTCTCATATTTCCAACGGTCATATTCGATGTGGTCGACAATGCAAGTATAGGTAAACGACAATGTGAACGATCGTCATTTGCCATGTAAAAGCCATCGTCATTATTGAACGACTGTTCTTTCAATTGAACAGCTTTACTAAATGCTAGACCACGTTCGACTACGATCTTAAGAGAAAAGAAACGTTTACAGGTTTTATTCTAATACAGAATTCTTTCGCGGAGAAATTACTCGGTGTAATTCGACTTGAAGTGGAATGGAATTAACTTGTACTGTATTCAAAACATATACTCGAGTTTGTTCGACAGAAACTGTTTCTTCGCCTGTGCCAAGATCTGCAAGAACATAGTTTAGTTTGTTCGATGTTAACAAATGAAATATTTACCTAGGATTCCTAAATCCCAGGAGCCACTTCGTCGTGCATCGACAATAACAGCATTGAGTGCATCGGAGAAAAATCGAAATAACAAATTCTGCATTTGCACACGAATTCCCAGTATGCGATTGAGAAATCGGCTCATATTATTATAATCTAATTCAGATCAGATTTGTAGTTGAAAACAAGAGAGTAGAAGAACACAATCTTACCTTTTTCAGCAACGTAAAGAACTTGTTGACCGCTTGTCATACGTGATATCAGACCGACATTTATCAAAGCCTTTCGTGCTTCAGTTACAAAATCTAGTTTTGTTTCGTTAGCAATTAGTTTTGGAAATGGTGCCCATGGCCGTTCTAAATTACAGATGGATCGAATAACATTTTCAAGTGCTTGTCGGCCGTATTTGTTATCGATATTAAATCGACTGAGATCACGTGTTTCAGTTGCACGTCGATCACCATGTGTCAATGCACCCAAACATTCTAACCGTTTTGCTACCCTAAATAAGAACAACAAAACAGAATATGAACAGAATTGCGTTCGGGAAGGGAAATCATACGTTGATGCAAAACGCTTTTCTCCTGCAAGTTCGGATATAACAAAAACGTATTCAGGTGCTGAGACTTGATTAGATCGATGCGTTCGACCTAGAAATCGAATGATTAACAATCGAAACTAGTTGAAAAAGATGCTTAACGCACCAAACTGCTGAACCGCTCGATCGGCTGACCATGGTAATTCAAGTGTTACATGAACACGACGACGAGTATTTTGACATCGTCGATCCGCTTGTAAAGAAATACCGCTACTAGCTGCTTCCGATATAATCGCAACAAGTTTTTCTCCACGCATAAATCGTTCACGTTCGGATATGTTCAAAATTTCTAATGGAACATCAGCTTCTGATCGTGACTCGTAACCGATCTGTCCGTCGGCATGTTGAACAACACGACCTTTCCGACCGGTCATCTACATAGATTTGATATTCAGATCGATTCCAAGGAAATGTTTGTCAAACCTCAGCAACTTGAGATGGTCCACCAAGTTGATCAATCAACTCATCTAAGGTATTCGGCGGTAAGCTTCTTCCAAGTGCTTCGATACTATTTAATAAATCTACTTTCATATTGAATAATGCATCAATGATTTCGTTGTTAGTCATTCGACGTTTATCGTCTATGAAAGAAAAAAAATAAACAAAAGTTCACAGTCGAAACTGAACTTGAGAAATCTTTTCCTTACAGTTATGTACACTAGTTGCAGTTTCTTTCTTTTGAATCCGTTTCACTGGCAATCCACCATCGGTATCGGTCTGTCCAAGAATTTCCGCAAATGTATGTTGTTGTGGTGGATAATCATCTTCAATCAATAGACTTTCGCAACTATTTTCGTTATCGCTATTGTGAATTTCGTCCAATTGATTATTATTATTTTGATCGCGATGTTTGCCTGTTGCGCGGCGTTTATTCGTTTGAACAAATGATGAATAACATTCAACGTCGGAATCATCTGAACTCTCATTCGAATCACATGAGACCGATCGTTTCGTAGTACGTCGATGTGTTGATTTGCGTTTTTTGCTCAAGCGATCTTTTTCTTCGTCAGGCTTAGGAATAAAACCGAAGATTGACACAGGTTTCGGCTGTTCAATACCAGTTGGAAAATGTTTTTCCACGAAACTTTGAATAACACCTCTAGACGACAAGAAAACAATCCATTTGAAAAAATCAACGATTATCATCTTTTCCCCTTACTTTGCTGTCGATACGAAATCGTTTAATTCGCCTAGTTCTTCCAATTGCTCCAAGGTTTTCGCTTCCCCAGTTGATTGCAAACCAATAACAACACACTAGAAGACAATAGCAATTACACAGATGATTTAGCTCAAATATTTACTTTGCCATCTCGAATAGCTTGGTGAGACAACTCCACTACTTTCGATACTTTACAGGCGATACACAGATATTTGAAATAACGCTGATGACTTAACCAATAACGTGCTATCACGTGATTCCGAGTTATATTCGATGTATCTGCTAGATCAAATGCTTGCAAAAGTTTCTCTTTGATTTCGATCCACTGAAAAAGTCAAGGCAACAATCATCAACACATAACACAGGTAAACAATTACTAATTGAACGGATCGATCATATGTTTGTAGATATTCGTTGGATAATGGAACATCCAGAATAGAAAAATGTACACCAGAAAAACTTAATTGACGTGCAATATACATGCCACGAAGTTTCATATCCATTGCCACAAGTTCCATAGCACCAACACCGCGTTGTTCAATAGCTTGAATAAAATGATTGAAATCAGCAAAGGATGTACCTGCACCCCATAGGCCAAGTCTTGTCATATAGGCCATATTTCGTGGTTCCGATGCACCTGTGGCTGATGCATAGATGATACGCGCATTCGGTAAACGAGCTTGTAGATCGAGAACAGCTAGGCCGGTTTTGGACGATTTCGCTGTGGGACTTGGCGCAAGATTTTTCGCTTTATGACATTCATCAAAGACGATCTACAATCGGAGATTATTGATTAACTAATGATTGGATGCGACAAGGATCGAGTTAATACTCACCACACCATCGAATTCATCGCCGCCAAGCCATTGAATTAATTGTTTTAGACGACTATTATATTTAACTTTAGTGGAAGCATTTTGACTTTCACTTATCAGTGAAGAATAAGTCGCAAAAATGACACCACGCTTTATTCCACCATTTTGTGGAGAAGAGATTTTAGCGTATTTTAACTAGATGAAATCACAAGCATAAAAGATTCCTTGCGATCTTTTATATCGTTTCATACTTTATTCAGTGCATGAACTTCGATAAACTGAGCACCAATATCATATAAGTCACGTTGTGCATCATATTTAAGGTCATTGGAAACACTCAACCTAAGCAGAGACGAGAAAAGTTCATAGTTTCTTTGAAATCGCTTCCAGTTAAATATAATGATTACCAAAGAGATCTCCGCCGTCCAAGTAGATAATTTTCATAAATTAAACCAGCAATGGTTCGACCTTTACCAACACCAGCTCCATCACCTAGAGTAACTAACACATCTAAAAGGCTTTTCCATTTGAAATAGTCTATTACCGATAAGGAATCCAGCTCTTGTACTATCAGGGAGAAATAACATATGACGTTGAGAAGCGTAAACGATTGTTTCTAATTGCAATGCTGACAATGTGTTTGCTTGAATTTTCTCATTTGGAATCGTTAGTTGGTAAGTAATATCAGGTAATTCGACTGAAGAAAGTGACGAAGTTTCCACAACAGGATCGGGATGTCGATCACCCAATCGAACTATAATATAAATGAATATAGCATCAGTATTGAGTGAAATATTCTCATACGTTTAAGTGGCATATAGTCAGAATACGTATCGGCTGCTTGGGCACTTTGTTCGTCTTCTTCATCTTCCTCGGTTTGCAGATCAGCTGGAATTTTCGGTGCAAATTCCTAAGTAAACAAATAGATAAGTGATATCAACATTGATATAAAAATGATATACTGGTGGCGCTGAAAGTGTTGGTCTTAATGCTGGAATAAATTGACGCACAATCGTTGAATTTACTACAGGTGCTGCTAATGATTTCTGTGACAATTGAGGCACAGCCGTTGGTAGTGTATATAAACCCGATGGGATCGTAATTGGACGTTGTAAACGAATAATCGGTGGACTTTGTACTGGAGCATGAAGTCCATGTAATATAATAGGTCGAGATATTGTGATTGACGATGATGCTAGTGACGAAATTTTTGTTAAATTAGGAAATGATTGTGGTTTAGGTGTTGAAGATATTGTGACTGGAGGTTGAGATTGTTCAGAACGCTGCTAAAATGATTGGTTCGATTGAATGGAGAAAACGAAATAACAACGAATGCTTACGCGTGCGATTTCATCTGCTTGCCGATTCGTCTCAGATAATTCTTTGACTGCCATTGAAAAGAGATCATCTTCATCGTCATCGTCATCATTATCATAATTGTCATTTGTTTCTTCGTTTAATGTACTCTCAACTGCTGGTGAATCCATTTGTTTATGTTTTATTGTCTAGAGAAAAAAATTCACTCGTTCTAATTGATTTTTTGCCTTGATACAATGTTTGACGCCAAGTTTCATTCTAGAGATCGATTAAAACATTCTTTATTGGTAATCAACGTCTCGGCTGAGTGTACTATCTGAAGAGAGTTAATGACATTTCATTCATTCGTTTTACATGTGACTGTTCTCCTTCTTCTTCTTCTTCTCGTCTTGTCGTGTCGGTATTTATACTTTTTTCAAGAACCAATGATCAGTGTTGCTCATGCCATCTATCCCGTAAAATCATTGGTTGGATTAATCACTCAAACTAGATTTGGTTACGTACCATAGTTTCGTTTCAAACTGATGAAACAAATGTTCTTTGGCTACGCACGCGTTTCGTTCCTTCTGAGTATTTTATCGAGAAAAATATTGAATCATTGCAAGAAGATTTATGTGTTTATTGAATAAACGGAATTTGAGATGAATGAAGTCACACAAACGTTCTAAATATTGATGCTGCGTATTCTAAGAAGTGATCTTGATTTTAAAGGGCCCAATTCCATTTCAGAAAAAGATCGCATGAGAACGATCATAGTGCAGATGACGTCATCTGACGAATTATCACTATTTGATAGTGACATCATGTGAAAGAAAGAGATGGATGCTTTATCGATATTTTCCAGCAGTGCTTTATCTAATTAATGAAATTTTTCTGTCGGTAAGACTTTTGTTGAAAAAGATATGTTTGTGAAAATATTGCCGTGATAAATGATATGAAGAAAAGGGATGTAGATAATATATTTCATAGTCAGGCAGACAAACCAATGAGGAGATAGAAGTTGAAAGTATGCATGACTTTCAAGAAAGGAAAATGTTGAAAATACGATGTATTTTGATTAAATTTCATCAGCCTGATGACATCTGTTCTTCTAAACGATTGGTTAAAGTTCGCACTCGAATAGAACTTCTACCTCGTGGGTTTGAAAATGAACAACACATCGTTTTAGATATTTCAACGAATCTCTCGATTCAAACATCTCGGAAAACGGCTGCATGATTTGAGAACGCAACCATGCCGTCATTGTTCAAACACGATCGATATTCTCAATCGAACAAATGGAAACAACATAACACAAAATGAAGTTTTCGTTACTACTACTGAAGGAATGCTCCTATCCTATTCATTCCTTCTACTTTCAGCACTTCTATGTGTTTATTTCGGTTCATACCGATCAGTAAATCGGAAAGATGAACAAGTTAGATCTGGCGAAAAACCTGATGTGCTTACTACAAGACATGGTAAACCCATTCGCATTTTCGATACTCATCAATCTTAATCTCATATTGTTCTAGTGGCAATGGTTCCATTCATTGCTAGTGCATTCCTACTCGGCAATTATCTTGTTATCTTACTTGTTTCCAAAGAATACATCACATTTGTTCTGAATATTTACTTTTCTCCCATTGGTATCATTGCACTTTATCGAGTAGTGCATCTGGTGATTGCATGGATTCAGTTACCAGCACTGAATAGATTTCGTGAACGACAATTTGATGTGACTTTATCGGAAAATAAACCATCGACAACGAACTCCGACACGAATGATCTATTGCATTTAGATTTCGAGTTCGATCTTATGGATAGTGAAGCTCTATTTCTTTGTGTATTGGTTGGTATTAACTTAAACGATATTGGATTGGAACAACATCTTTGGCATCGCCTTTTCAATAAGTATATAAACTTCCTATAGAGAATTTACAATTACTCATGAATATTTGTATCTATCAGAGTTTTAAACAGAAGTATTCTACTCGGTGGTCTCTTCATTTATGATATCTTTTGAGTTTTTGGAACCGACGGTAACTAGTCAGCTCTGTTCGTGTAAAATCATACTTTGGAGGATTTTAGTTATGATTACAGTAGCAAAATCGTTTGATGCTCCGATTAAATTAGTATTTTCACAAGATCTGATCGAAAATGGTCGGATAGCCGCTAAAAAATTTGCTATGCTTGTACTTGGTACGTTTACTAATGACATCTTGCATTTTCTAATTGTTCGCTTTTTCCTTTCAAGTGACATTGTCGTTCCCGGTGTGTTTATAGCTTTATCACTTCGCTACGATATGTCTCGTCAACGATCGAAGTTTTATTTTACCGTTTCATTTATCGCCTATATCATCGCTTTGATTGTGACGATTCTTATTCTTCAAATCTTGAAACCTGCTCAGCCAGTCCTACTCTATATTGTACCATTATGTTTGATATTTCTGTTACTGACTGCATGGATTTGCAAAGACTGTACAGCCATGTTCGCTTATGAGAATCATGCTAATGACAAGAAGCATGTATAGATCTTCCGTCATCTCGTTGTTGCATTTCATCTGAACGTATCAAATTTTGTTTTAGACTGCAATAAATTTATCTCAGTCATTCTCGATTTTATTCAAATAAATCAAATAAATGTCTTTCTTATCCTTCTAGATTATGGGCACAATCCATAGTACTCCTAATTTCATCCGGTGTTTTCAATCCATATTAACATTTATTTTTGTCAGTATATGTTTATTTTTACTTTCAATCCTCACTTATTTTACTCTACGTAAACACTTAATACCAACATCACGTCTTGACATTCCGATATCTCTTGGCTTTCCCAAAGATTTCGATCCGAACACAGACAAGACTTTTTCGCAATCCGCCGCTAATTTTCCACCCTATTTAGTCAGTCATATAAATCTAAGTGATACCATGTCGATTCAATCACCACTTGATATATCTGTACACTCGTATTCAATCGAATTGACTTGTCATTCACCACGTTCGTATCGCAATCGTCAACTCGGTTCATTTTTTGTTCAAATAATTTTGTATTCAACAACTAATCAACTTATCAATGAACATTCCCGTTTAATTTTATATCCATATCAGTCCGAACTCGCTCGAATTATCCGAACACTCATCTTCTTACCATTATCCATATTTCACATCGATTACGATCGTTGGCATTTGCAACAAATACTTATCGACCGTGTACGAAATACTGATCAATCGAAGCGTTTTATCGAAAGAATTCATTTGAATATACTTCCGTCTTCATTTCAACTTGATCGATGTTCAATACATTTTCGTATACGTGATTTAACCGGTCTTGTTTATTCATTCATAAACTATCCAATTCTAACTGGATGTTTTGCGACGTTTGTTCTATTTTCTATCTATATGACATTCTATTTGATTGTAACTGGTTTAACCTGGTTAAACCAATTGAGTAAAACCGAATCTTGTAAGAAAAAACTTTCGTGATTATTTTTGTGTTTTTCTTTGTTTTTTTTTAAGATTTATGTAAATATGACAGATTATAAGTGTAAAGGATGTCTAATCGACTCTTCCCATGGAAAATTACAAAAGAAAAAAGAAGCATTATTAGAATTTATTTTCACCAGTGATTCTTTGTGTTTAACTGTAAGTGCACAGAATGTCAACATCATGACGTACACGTTAAGTAAAGATACGATCTCAACAGCGATGTTATATAATGAATTACTTGTGATAACATTCAAAGAAAAGAAACAAATAAAATTATCCGCTTTGCCGGCAAATAAATTACAAGAATTGAAGTTTATGTTAGAAGCATTATTGAATGATGATCTGACAGGTAAAGAACGAAAGAGAGGATTACGATGGAGTTCAATTTGGTTTTTTTAGTTTATAAAGAACATGAGAAGAAATTTTGTCAGGTGTCGACGAATTCGAACCACGCGCCGCGTAATTCTGTCACGAACACGAGTACTAAGAGTATGAATTTATCGACAGATGCAAGTAGTAAGAAACAACCGAAATTAGACAAGATGAAACATGCTAATCAAGTTTTCGAAAATGATGAAAATTCACAACCATCTGTAGCAAATATTTCCAAGGCAGCTGAGAAGAAGAAAAGCGCTTTGCATAGGTAAGTTGAACATTAAAATTATGGATTATTTGTTCGTTGTTTGGATTGTGTATAGTGCTTCGAATTTCTATCCTCACTCTCAGCACCATTCTATCGATGAAAATTTCGATCACATCAATGATACCTCGCAACAATCGTAAGTTTCTTTTTCGTATAGTTTTTGTCACAGACGCTTTTTCTTAGCCATAAACGCACAAGTGCAAATCAATCGGGTAGTTCAGGCGTTCGTTTCGAACATGCAACATCGCCCTACTTCTTCAATCGAACAGAGAATAAAATGAAACGACACTTATCGAATGGAGAATCTCGCGTTAGTCCACTGAAAAACATTTATTCTAAACCATTGAATAACACACCTCTTTGGGATAATGATGATGAGAGTTATCTCTATGATTGGCGCGATTCACCATACACAACAAAACGATCGGAAAGTCAGACATCAGCTGACCTCTCAATATCGAAAGCAGTGACAACAACGATGAATTTGCGAAAGAAAGGGTAAATGATCAATGTGTTTACAAATACATTCGAAAGAAAAGAAGATTACTCTAGTTTGAAAAATATCGGTGCGACATGTTACATGAATTCCATTCTTCAATGTTTGCTGAATATCGACCCATTCCGTTATGATTTAATGGCGACAAATTCCGAACTGATCACATCGCCCTTACTCGAAGAGAATACAATCTATCTGTACGTTTTTTTTTCGTTATATTAATCTATCATGCCGATACAGAAAAAAAAACACAGATAAATAGATATTGTCAATGTATATTGATATTTCGCATTTTTTTCATAGCTCCGTTCTACAAATTCTGTCTCTGTTACAAGATCGTCAATCAACACAATCACAAAATAATACGACAACTCAATTAACTGACGATGAACGAACAGTTGAATCACAAGCGTTGATTAATTTGAAAAAATCAGTAGAAAAACATTCCGGCGTTTTTCTTGGTTCGCGTCAACAAGTAAGTAGACTCTTAAGATCGGTACAGTGGACGAGGTTGTTTCGATTTCGTTTGAATAGCCATATTTACACGTTGAAATGAATAATGCCGATCACCTTTCCATCCTATCCATAGAATACCGGTATTGAATGGTACTAATCCATCGGAATGTGTTGCAAAGTGCCCATTGAGTTGTACATGTGCGCATTCGACACCGGAATGGTACCACCATCCGCCTCCACCGTGTTTTTGAGGGCAATTTGTGTTTGTAGCGTAGTGATCATAGGTGGAAAATCGTGCGTTATGGTGCCAACGAGAGAAACCTATCACGAAAGAAAGAAAAGCTGAATGTATTTAATTATCTACTATTTACTGAAACAATTTCCTTTTATTTTTCTATACAGCCGAATGAGAGAAGATTTGTCCTTACTGTCGATTTTGTTTGAACTTTCTATATCTCCATGATATTCAGCAATCTGTATTCGATAACCATCTTGCTGATTCGCAATTCGAAACATTTCATAGGTCGCTGTTCGAGTCTCATTATACCAATCGGTTAGTTCAATTTTCAATCGACACGCGTACGTTGTAGATAACCAATGAAGATTCTCGTTGCCAATCCAAAAATCAGTTCGATTACGAGTATTTCCAAAACCTCGTCGATATTCAATCCATGTTCGATTGAAATCGATCGAATTGGTTTCACGATTCTGTATAATCAACCACTGAGGATATTCATCATTTGGACAAAAAATATTCTCGATCAGTTCAGTTAATCCAACACGTATTTGTAAGCAGCGTGTCGTGCGATTGCGTCTCGGATGTGGAGGAAGTTGATGGGAGCAATCCACATTGTTCTCTGAATGTGAACTAAGTTAAAAAAAGAACATTCCTTAGTGAGGAATTTCAAGTTCGTTTGCTTCTAAAGAGTAGTCATTGAATATCAGTAGAGCGAGAAAAGAACCTGTTTAGATCACATGGTGCGTTCCTTGAGTGGGAAAATGATTTGCGAGTCATCTACTGAACGATAGAGGCGAGAGTTCCGTCAATTTGCTAATGTATTGCTATGCTCTAGAAAATAACTTGTGCGTAGTTTTCGTCGAGAACTTACTGATTGTAATTAAGTAGATGACGATGAAGTTCTTGATGAAGAGTTAAATTATCATTCAGACGAAACTGAAGGAGCATTTTCTCTTGTTTATCAGTAAATCGTTCAAGTCTTATATAAACAATAGTAAGAATAATAGCATAAAAAAGAACATGAATTAAAAGAAAACAGCACCGTTCAATGGTTAGATTTGACGGCATGCGCGTTAGTTTTTGTACATTTAACAAGGGAATTGTCGTATGATTCGGTTTGCTCGTAATTGATGCTGTCGCTGTCGTTGTTGTTGGTAACATTTCCGAACGATTTGGAATAATTTGAAAGTCACAATTGGATTTCGGCGAATCCAGATCTGTTCGTTTAACTCGCGGCTCTTTGAACATGATTCATGTGTATAAAGTACTTGTTTCTTCTAAATATGAATGTGAACATGTTCACTCTCTATTGTCGTTTTTCTTTTCTTATTGAATGTCGAAAGTATACTGGTAAAAAAAAAGAAAGAAGAAAACGAGAAAAGCGGGAACGAAGCACGACCGC